ACGACCTGCAGGATGCTTCAGCTTTCTGGAAACAGAAGCTTATGTGGGGGGAAAAACAAGGCCTGCCTTTCACTTCCTTTCTCCCGAGAATGCACTTTCAAAGCAGAAATCTAAACCCAGGGCAGGTCCAAGACAAACGAGTTGCAATTCATGGCTGCAAGGTAAATGAAGGCCTTCCTCTAGTTACTGCCTTTGCCTGCACATTTTCTCGGAGGGAGAGAGGCTGGAAAGGCAGGAGACCCACAAGCAGATGTTTTCTGTTGGAAGAGGGCACGTTGGGACAGGGATCCTGTCCGAAGCATGTAAATCAGGCTCGTCCACTCTCAGCCCCTCCAGAAACTAAACACGGCTGAGGCCAACCTTAAGACTGCAGTCAGTTGACCAAACATAACATTACTATTTTAAATGAGCAAACAGTTTAAGCCTCAGCAAAAAAAAAAAAAAAAAAAGGGGGGGAAGTGATGAGACGCCCAGACTTCCTTGGTAAGGTGAGCACATGAATTATAATTCCAGGCAGCAGACAGAAAGAACCCAAAGAACCACATCAGGGCCGGAACCGTGGCCGACACACCAACATATACCAACGGTGGCTGCTGCCCAGCAGTGTGCTTACACTTGGTGTTGTCTGTCCTGGTCATGGGACTGCATTTCTGAAAATGTGTCTGTGAATAAATGTCTGTAAATAAACGATAATCATAACGCAAGAAGCTCCAAGTTCTTTAATTGTGCTTCTATTTATCCTTCAATTCCCAAATCTAATGATTTAGCAAAGACATGCTCTGTCTTGAATGTAAGTGGCTTTATCACCCACTTGTTCAGAGCTTTACAGTTTTCAAAGAACTTTCACAGATCCCCACTCTGCTCCTTACTTAATCTCTCAAAGCCTCAGCTTCATCATTTGTAAATGAGGATAAGAGTATCTCCTAGGATTATTGTGATGATTAAATAAGAAAAAAATAAAGGATTTATTAATCTTTCATCACCACCACCATCATCATCATCATCATTGCCATTACCAGCATCGCCATCATCACTACAAGTCTCTTAAAAAGTATGTAATCAAAATTAAAAAGATTTTCATGGTCTCATTGTTTGTTGTCTTCTTGGTGCTCAGAGGGATAATCCTCACCTAAACCTTAAAACATTCCCTGGTGTGAAACAGCTTCTGTTCAACAATGGAGGGAGAATGAGGCACTGTGGTGTGAGGAGAAACTAGAACCCCTGCCCTGCGGCCCATCCTCCACACACCAAAATACTTCCTCCCTGACCTGCCCGGTTTGCAAAAAAGCTGAAGCTGGCCAAGGTGATACAGAACACTGTACTCATCCCAACCTGGTTCCAATTCCCACACCGGCCCTTCAACCCACCGCCTGCTAGGAAAGGCCATACTCACTGTATCCCATGCCCTGCACAAAGTACTTGAAGGCCTCGGCAAGCTTGGCCGGCTGCAAGATAAAGAGTGGAAGTGCCGTCAGTCACCGGAGGTCCAGATCATACAGACGTGCCTGTGGCCACCTTCGTTAAAGAGCTTGGCCCAAGACGGAAGGCCACCTCAGGTGGACAGGACAAAACACAAAAGTAAAGGGAAGACTATGGGATAATTATGGAGACCAAAATTGGCTTTGACCAGAAGTTACACGACCTGTCTTTTCTAAAGAAGACATCATTGGATAAAGCGATGTGTCCAACTCAGGGTCTAGAATGTAATAGCCACTCACTGTGCTAAGGGCTTTGCAGCATTATCTCATCTTCCCGACAACAGCCTTATGAGGTTAGTACCATCTTCATATATGTTTCACAGCTGAGCAGACTTGGAGAGATGAATAATCCGTCCAAGGTCTTATGATTAATCAGTGGTCTTGTATATTAACCCAGGGCTTTCCAAACCCCAAAACAGTTTACTCTCAGCCTCAGTAGCAGGCTGGCTGGCTGGATGAAAGGATGGTGGATAAATGGATAGATGAAAACGAAAAAAGATGGATGGAAAGAAGGAAGGGAGGAAGGAAAGAAGGAAGGGAGGGAGGAAGGAAGGAAGGATGATGGATAGATTAATGAAAAGAAAGGATGGATGGACATAAAGAAGAAAGGCTGTATGGATGGAAGGAAAGAAAAAGATGGTCAAAAAAGGAAGAATAGATGAATGGACACGTGGATGGATGGATAGATGGATAGGTGGACAGACCAATCAATCAATCAACTGGGCTACTTTAAGTAAAATGAGTTGGGAATGCTGAGAACACACCCAGTTCTACCAATTATACTCAAAAATTTAATTTAATCTAAATGGGAGGTGAAGGCCATATTCGCAGGCTAATTAATTCCAACTCTTTTTTTTTTTTTTTTTTTTTTTTTTTG